CGTTCAATTATGTCAGAAAATGGAGATTTGGTCTTATGCTGAGCATGTGCTACTGCTGGTGAATGGGATCAGGTTAAGCTTTGTGTTGCTGTTCTTTTGCATAACCTAAAGTAAATAAGGAAAACCAGCTGTTAAATAGTTTAATTCCACTATTTAACCTCCACACAACTGAAAGGGACATCTTAATGCAGTGCCAAATCAGACAAACCATTTCTAACTTGATATAGGCTTGAGCTGTAGCTGGGCATAGTAGCACAACAATCTCATCTGTCATTGATTCATTTCTATAAGCATGGGGAGGAGGTGGATGAAAGGAAATGTAAAATATAGGTAGAGTGGTATAAGTCTTATCACTGGCTGATAATGGTCTATATCTACTTTGCTAAAATTTATGGTACATAAACAAGAGTACACAAACCTTTAAATCTCTCCATTTGTTAATGACAGTGGTAATGGCTCTTAATGCCACTGTTGACTGCTGTTCACTTTACATGATTCAAATGTTATTCTGTTATAGTTTATTAAATATTTTATTATACTATTGGGTTCAGAATATATTTTCCCTGTTTTCCTTCTCTAAAAATTATGTGCGTCTTAAGGTCAGGTGCGTCTTATGGAGCAAAAAATACGGTAATCTATGTAAGCAGCATTGTGTGTCTGACAGATTGGCTGGAATGTGACCACATGTAAGAAAACTAGCCTGGTGGCAGTATTATGTGTGCCCAATTGTAGGAGATGTTTACTACATGTGAGCTGTTCAGTGTGGCTTTTGGTGTTGTAATGCATCTGTCAGAGGAACACTTAACTATTCTGGTGCAAGTGGTATTTTTATTAGTTACTACAAAAGGAGTATAAAGAGAAAGCATCAATGGGTAGCATTCATGTTATTTGCCCCCATCCATGAGAAATGGAGTACTTAACAAGAGTAGCATTAAACCAGTGCCCCAATGATGTATCATTGGCAATGTCACATGGTTCCTTACAGACAGAAATTAAGCAAGTTCCTGCAGGCAAAAGTGAGAAACATTTGCGATTTCTGCCAACTTTTCCCAGATGTTAAATTGCAGATGGCCATGGAGATCTTCTTGAGCCTCTGCAACACCTACTGGAGCAGTTCCAAGAATGAGGAAACAGCATAGGAGCATCATCAGAGAATTGGCATTTAGTTGGGAGACAGTTACAGCAAGGAATGTTTCAGGAGTCTCTGGGATGTTCTGATGCCTGAGATTATGCTGCACATCAGAACTTAGAGACTTTAGCATTGGTTGAGTTCCCTTAGGTCTGGCTGGGCATTTGTGGTGTGCTGCCATCTGGTCTGGGTCTCACTATAGGATCATCACTGGGCGAAAATCTGGAATGGGGTTCTGCAAGTTGCAATGCCAGCTCATCCTTTCAACAATAAGGTCTCACACACTGAGCTGGGATCCACCAAGGGCCTGTGAAATTAAGCAAAGCAACTTGGCTGCAACTCAAGATTAATAAATGGCTGAACTGAAGGTCAGGGAGCTGCTGATGCTGGGGAAGTGTGGAAAAGGGGACGACAGAGGATGAGATGGTTGGACAGTATCGAAGCTACCAACATGAATTTGACCCAACTTTGGGAGGCAGTGGAAGACAGGAGGGCCTGGTGTGCTCTAGGCCATGGGGTCACAAAGAGTGGGACACTGCACAGCAACTAAACAACAACTGAATTGACCTCAGTTTTTCATAGGAAATATAGTTGGTAAGTATGTTCTTAAAGTTACACAAAGCTTCGGTATTTTACTTTAACCTCTTCTATTAAAATGTTTCAAATGTTTTATTACGGTCATTGACCAGCAAAAGTAAGGTACATTATTTAAATTAGGTGACATAAAAACAATCTTAAAAACATTAAAAACACTTAAAACACTAAAAACATCTATACACACATATAAAACTACATTCTTACATTTTACTAAATATCTCCTTCCTCCCTATCATAGACCTTATCTATGGGCTATTGCAGTTGACAAAATTGTTACTTTGAAGCTCATAGACCCCTTTGATCATTATATCAAATTGGTATACACCAATTTACGGATACTATAGCTGCGCTTTAGGTGGAACCTTTCCTTCACGGATTTTGATTGCAGCAGCACAGAATTTAGCTACTTTTGTCAGCATATCTGAATTTTGGTTTAGCTGAGTATATCTGCCAGGGTATCACCCTGTCAGCAAGAGCAGTGTGTAATGTGCCTCTGATCGTCCAGGAAATGCCCTTATGTAAGAGTTAACAAGGATTTCTCGAATGTCAGAATAAAAAGCACAATGAAGTAACACATGGGAGATAGATTCTATCTCACCAGAGTTACAGGGGCATAAACGCTGAGTGTAACAGGTGTTGTTATACTTCCCTTCCTGGACTGCTGACGGAAGCGCATTGAAGCGGGCCAGAGTAAGATCTTTGCGTCGTTTAGGTGGTAAGGGTAAGTAGAGATATTTTGCCAGTTTGGGTGGAAGCAGTGCGTTGTCAAGTGTAAACCTATTTCTGATAATACCAAGTTCCTGCTGCCTTTCTGTCTCAATAATATTCTGTGTAAGATTATTCTTGGTCTTAACATATCCCATTTGTTGGATACTTTCTACTGAATAGCCGCATCTGTTGATTTTAATGGTATATTGCTCTCTTCCAAGGTGACTGATGGTTATCCTGTAATACCAGTCAAGTCAGTCCTATTGGTTGAAAAGTTAGTTTTAGGCAAAAGTTAAAAATGGCCAGCCAAGCTCTGGCTTCAACCTTCAGGTAGCCCACTTCAGGCCTAAGGGGTGCATTGGATACCACTCTTGAAACTTGTAAGATAGCCCTCACGAATTTGGATTGAACTACTTCTAGCTGGATAAATGAAGAATAAGGGCCCAATTGTGCCCCATACAGGAGCTGACTAAGGGATTTGGCCTGAAACAATCTTAGTGCAGCTGGAATGTACGGACCTCCCTTTGAATAGATTAAGCTTGCATCTGTTTCTGGAATAGCATCAAAAGGAAAAAGTCTGGTGTAGCCCTCTGGTGGAGATAGAAATTATTGTCAAGAGGATTAGAAAAAACAAAAGAGGAGTCTGTGCATTGTTACCTCTTCTATCTTAATTAATACAAGTCACACTCTGACTAATCACTCCTTAAACGCTCTCTCTGTGCCTCAAACCTCCAAACTCTTTCTCCAAACTCTGTCTCTGTTTGAACTCACTAGACTTTGACTCACCCTACCCTTCTAGTTTCTCTGCCTCTGCCTCCCATTGGTGCAGGCCAATATCATTATATATATAGGAAGACAGGGTGTTCACTACAGCCACCTTCAAGGCATAGAGTTCCATTGGAGACACAATGGGGCAGGCCAAAGATTTTATACAGGAACGTTGATTGGACCCTTTCCACGGAGCTGTGGAATGCCCACATCCAGATGGGGACACCATAAAGAAGTTGTGCTTCTGATTTGGCATTAAAAATCTGCAGTGCAGCGAGGATGTATGCGTGGCCCCAAGTTGATGGAACCGTAACGTAGCCTGTGCTGAAAGCTTTGTTGATTTAATCGCTGTCTGCTGGTGAGTCGACCAAGTGTGTCTCTAATGAAAAAAGAGTGCTGAATGAGTGACTGAATGGTTAAGACTGTTAAGGAGAGGGAAAAGAATCTACCTTAGTGGAACTTGGTTACGCTGAACTGCACAGCTGGAGTGCACTGCATATCTTTTTGAGGAGGAGTAGTGACAAATCTGTGGAAAGCTGCTCTGTCTACTACTAAAAGTTGTAGGTTCAGCTGAGAGAAGCTTGGCAGTGTTACAGTCTGTGTATGACATCCCTAGCAACCTAGCATTTCTTAATGTGTTGTACTACAAATTCCATACTGTTTCCATATAGAATTTGCCATGGATATGGGTGAGTGTAGCTCAGCACATTGGGAAGAAAGTAACAAGGGAAGCTTTGGTTTGAAATGTGTCTTTCACAGTATTTTCAGTGTGCAGCAAACAGAATTGGCCACTTGAAGGAAGCAGTGACCATTTTAGTGTATTTTCCAAAGATTCCACTGGTAATTCTGAGGTATTTGAGCTCATGTAACCTACTCTGTTTCCCCGAAAATAAGACCTAATCTGATAATAAGCCCTAGTATGATTTTTCAGGATGCTCGTAATATAAGCCCTATCCCAAAAATAAGCCCCAGTTAAGTGAAACCCCGCTCTCCACCATTGTGCAGCAACCAGAAGGGGACATGACTGTATTTCAATAAATATATGTTGTTGTACATGAAAAAAAAATCCCCGGAAAATAAGCCCGAATGTATTTTGGGGGCAAAAATTAATGTAAGACCCTGTCTTATTTTCAGAGAAACACGATAATATGTAGGAAATGGAACTATAAATGAGAAAATCATAGTTTCTCGGTTCAAACCTAGTTTCTTTGGAAACATGATAGGTGACCTGAGGCAAACCAGCATTTTCCCCACCTCATTATCACATCAGAAATAGCATTGGCTTACCTTATAGAACAAGATTTACAGAGGTGTTATAGAAATGAAGATATATGGGGATCACTATGACATTTAATACGAAATAAATGATAATTTCTAATATTTTTGTATTTCTATTTTTCTGTATTAGACTGTGAAAAGTCAGATAGTCTGGTCAAAACAGAAGCAGAAGAAAACCAAGTTCCAAAAGAAAAAGCATTACAGGTATGTGTATGTTTCCTTGTTTCTTTTAGGCTCATCTTTACAGAAAGAAGCATGTACTTTTTAAAATATAACCCCAGCTCACTTCTTAATAGGTGAAAGTCAGAATCAGATGAGAGATTCACAAATTAGCCTTGAATAGCCAGCTGGTCTTTCCAAAAAAGGATGGGACATTCCTATCAAACTTGTCTTCCAAATACAAAAATAATGCTAAATGAAGCTTAGAGGCAGCATTCTTCTGGATACCAGACAGCAGACAGACAGTAATAGAGAGCTTTTTCTTTGTGGCTTTGCCAGGTTGCTATTTAAAACAGAATACTTTTGGACTGACCCAGAAGACAATTCTTAACATTCTTATCTTTTCTTTCCCTCACTAGCTACAGGTTGTAATACATGATCAAGAGGAAGAGCACTTAATGCCAGAAACAAACAGACGTCTTTCTATTGAAGAGGGTAAATACTTGATAACATGAATGTCATACTGAAGATTTAAGTAGATTAGCATGGTAGACCACATTGATTTAGAATGTACTTCAGCAAAATATTAAAATTATTTTACAGATGATATCCCACTGTGTCAAATTTTGGGAGAGGAAGATGAACACCACAAGTATTTTGAGGCCAAATCAGCAAATAATACGGTATTTTAATAACTGTTTTCATGGAGTGGCTTTTTTAGTCTCTTATAGAAGAAAAAATGACATCTTGTGACATTAAGAAGTTTCAGAATTTTATCTGACACATGCTTTTATGAAGTCAACTGCAGCCTACAAAAGCTGGTATCAAGTAAAATGTATTAGTCTTTAAGGTGCCATTAGAGCTCTTATTGTTTTGAACTGTGTGACTTACTAAAATACATGTGTGTAGTAGGGATGGATACTCTATTCTTATGGTACTTCTCATGGCTTGAAAATGCTTAATTTGGGTTTGTATGTTATCCTCCTGTCCTTCAGGGCAGTCAGAGACAAAAGCATAACTTAATTCCTCAACATGGAAATAGATTGAAATAGTATCTCCTGGGGGGGGGGATAAGTGGTCCTGGGCTGGATTACTTGAAAGGAATATATCTGTGAAGATTCTCAGTCATCCAGGTGAAGTTATCTGGAAGTTGAGTCATGGCAACTGGACTTCTTTCTTATTAGGTCGAAACATTTCGCTACTCATCCAAGTAGCTTCTTCAGTCTGAAGAGAGTTGGTAGGAGACCCCTGATATATCCTCCATGTTGGTTTCACTTCCCCTTGGTCTGAATAGCTGGTTAGATGGACAAAGGACTCGGGGTGAGTGAAAATTCCACTTGTCATGGGTCGTTAACAGTGGTCTTTCTGGTGTGTGGTCCTCCTGATCCCCTAAAGATCAGGACCACACACCAGAAGAACGACTGTTAAATGACTCTTAACAACCTATGACTGCAGAAGCACAATTTTCACTCACCCCCAACCCTTTGTTCCAGCTACTTGGATGAATACTGAAATGTTTCAGCCTAATAACAAAAAAGTCCAGTTGCCATGATTCAACTTCCAGATACTTGAAAGGAAGTACTGTATACTGATTCAGTATAACTATATTGTGAGACTTCTAACATCAGTTTTAAGTGCTGGCATTTAGTTGTCATTTACTGTACTGAAAACATAGGATTGCAAATAAATAAACTTTGGTCCATCTAGTCCACAATTAACAATACTGACTAGCAGTGGTTTCAAGTAGGACTCTTTCCCTACCCTACTTGCAGGTTCCTGGTGTTCTGTAGTGTTTGTACCTCAAATACAAACCAGGCTTAACTGCCTGGCTTCCAAAATCAGATGTGCACATTCTAAATTAATGTTCGGCTTTTAGTTGATTAGTGTCTGAATGCACTGAAAGATCTGGATGACTGATCGTGATGTTACCCTGTTTCCCCCAAAATAAGACCTAACCTGAAAATAAGTCCTAGTATGATTTTTCAGGATGCTCGTAATATAAGCCCTACGCTAAAAAGGAGCCCTAAAGTGAAACCCCACCCTCCACCATTGTGCAGCATTGTGCAGCAACCAGAAGATGACATGACTGTACATTAAAAATATTATCCCCTGAAAATAAGCCCCACTGCATTTTTGGAGCAAAAATTAATATAAGACCCTGTTTTATTTTTGGGGAAACACGGTATATAAAAGTTTGAGTAGGAAAATAGCTATGGTTTTTCCTGTCATGATGTATGGAAGTGAGAGCTGGACCATAAAGAAAGCAGACCATAAAGAAAGAATTGATGCCTTTGAATTGTGGTGCTGGAGGAGACTCTTGAGAATCCCCTGGACTGCAAGGAGAACAAACCTATCAATTCTAAAGGAAATCAACCCTGAGTGCTCACTGGAAGGACAGATCCTGAAGCTGAGGCTCCAGTACTTTGGCCATCTAATGAGAAGAAAAGACTCCCTGGAAAAGCCCCTGATGTTGGGAAAGTGTGATGGCAAGAGGAGAAGGGGACGACCGAGGATGAGATGGCTGGACAGTGTCTGCGAAGCAACCAACATGAATTTGACACAACTCCGGGAGGCAGTAGAAGATAGGAGGGCCTGGTGTGCTCTGATCCATGGGGTCACGAAGAGTCGGACACGACTAAACGACGATGAGGAAAATAGCTGGTGGGAGTTGGATATGCTGGGAAAAGCCTTTTCCCTATGTTCTCCTTTGAAGCATTTCAGTGTTTTACATGAATGTCCTATTAGATGGAGTTACACTCCCTTTGAAAACATAAGTGTGCAGCTTGGGGGTGCTCCTGGATTCATCTCTGAGCCTATATGCCCAGGTTTTGGCAGTGGCCAGGAGTGCATTTGCTCAATTAAAACTAACATTCTAGTTGTGACTGTTCCTGGACAGGTCTGATCTGGTCTCCATCTCCCTTTATGAGTCTGTCTGTGTGCTAAGATAATCAGGAGGAGGATTTTCTCTTGGTCTTAGCAGATTCACAGGTGTGTTTTGTGGAGACACGGGAGAGGGACTTCTCTATCGGAGACCCAGATTCTGGAACTCCCTCCTATAGGAGGCTGGCCCCGTCTTTGCTGTCTGTCCATAAACAAAAACATTAGACAAGCCTTTCCCTTAGTGATTAGGTGTCTGAAGAGGTTTTTTTTTTTAATGGAGCAGTGTGTCTTGTTGCTTTGAATGTGTTTTTGGTCTTGATTTTGTCTACAGTTTTTAGTGTGGTATTGTTTAATTCATTTAAAATATATACTTAAAGTGTGCTGTTCTTGTTAGTGTGCTGTTCTTAGTTGCTACTTACTGTTTTTTAGCTTTTAAATATTTTCTTCTAGTGATGTAAGGTAAAAATATTATACATAAATAAATATGGCCCACCACCCTGCAGTGTATTAAGGAAAATTTGTAGGCATGGGATGGGTGAAAGAGATCTCAGAAGTATATTTCCCAGCTTCTCAGTGCAGGATTAGCTGACCAGGTTGTGGAGGAAGGTTACTGTGATTCAGTATAGTTACATCTTCTTTTCAAATTTCCTGTTTAGTGATCTGCAATGTCTGCATGGGTGTAAGGTTGTTAAGGCTATACAGTGGTGCCTCACTTAGCGACGTTAATCCGTTCCAGGAAAAACGTCGCCAAATTCGTTAAGCGATTTTAAAAAGCCCATAGGAACGTATTAAAACGTGTTTAATACGTTCCTATGGGCTAAAAACTTACCTTAAAGCGAAATTCCTCCATAGCGGCGGCCATTTTGGGTGCCTCTAAAGCGAGGCAAAACAGCGGCTGCCATTTTGGAACCACCAATCAGCTGTGCTTCCTCCAGGGAGACTGAGGCATCGCGCAGAGGCGGCGGTTTGGGAAGCTGGCTTCCCTGGGATCTTTGCAAACAACTGCCCATTAACTGTGCTTCCGGTTGCTCTCTCTCCCCTCCCAGCTCCAGCCCAGGCTGGGAGGGGAGAGAGAGCAGCCCGAAGCACAGCTGATGGGCGGTTGTTTGCAAAGATCGCAGGGAAGCCAGCTTCCCAAACCCGCGCCTATCAGCTGGGCTTCAGGGCTCTCTCTCTCCACCCCTCGCAACACAGCTGATCGGCGGGGCCTTTGGGATGATCGTGGGGAAGCACTTCCCCACGATCATTGCAATGCGGTTTCCCCCCATTTAAAACATCGCAATGCGATCGCTTTTGCGATCGCAAAAACTCCATCGGTATGCGGATTCATCGTTAAACGGGGCGCTCGTTAAGCGAGGCACCACTGTATAGGAATTTGGTTAGGTAGAGACAGTATAACTGACAGGCTCCTATTCTGAGTGGGTGGAAGTAGATTCAAGTGGCATTGAGGATCCCATAGTTTTTATTTTGGAGGCATCAGTAATAATGTTGAGGCCATGTTTACTGCAGATAAGGCCTTTTCAGTCTACACTGTATACTATTGACAAGATATATGCTATTCTTTGTCAACAGTGTACTGCTGCATTCTGTGTAGGGTAAACAGCTCATGCTCTACGCAAAAGAATATTTGTTTGTGTTTGTTTTACTTAGACCACTTTTCTCTCAGTGAAAAAAGAAAACAATGGGAGAACATTTTAATCTCTTAGGACACTGTGGCTAACCTAAAGTAGTGATTATAGTGTATGTGAAATTTAGTATGAGATTAGAGAATGAGTTTGCTGAGTTAAAATCCATCAAAATGTTCCAGCCTTGCCTCTAGGGATTTGAATTCAGATAATGCATCGTAGTGCATGCATTCATTGACTTACCTAATGTAGAATTTTATGTTATCTTTAGCAGTTGTGTCAATGAAATGTGTTAGTAAGGTAATAATCACTGTCAATAATTCTGTATTTTATTTCTCTCTGACATCAATGCCTATGACCCCACATCCAACTATATGTTACATAGGTTGCAAGAGTTACTTTTTTGGAGTAGAACTCCAAGTTCTGTGACATTCTGGGAGTTGTAATCATAAAAGCTGTTTTTCTGTCTGTGTTATTGCATATATAACTGATGTTCTCGATAAAATTTTCTACATCTCATTAAGTGCCTATAATTCACAAAAACTCATACTGTAAACATTTGTTCCAACTTTTAAGGTATTACAGGGTGTGGTTTTTTTTGCTGTTCTTTAGTGATTATAGTAACAGATGTTTGCAATCACAGTCATTAACACGTTATCTTCTTAATACTTACTATGATTTTTCATGGATGAGAGAGCTAATGTGACTTGCATAACTGAGACCTGGGTGGGCATGGAAGAGGAGATAGTTTTCTCACTGGTGTGCCCACCTGTGTATTCCATCAGGGTAGGTCAGCAGGGTGGGTGGGGGTCACTGTTTACAGAGGTTCCATCAATGTCAGCAAGACTTCCACACTGTTGAGCCCGGACCTAGAGTGTCTTCACCTGAGGGTGGGGTGCAGGGATAGATTTGGGGTAGCACTGGAGAGAAACACTCTCCTTGTGATCCAGCACACTCCCTCCTTGGGCTGACTGAATTTGTCTCAGTGGTGCTGCTGAAGTAATCTAGACCACTGGTTCTTAACCTTGGGTTACTCAGGAGTTTTGGACTGCAACTCCCAGAAGCCTTCACCACCAGCTGTCCTGACTGGGGTTTCTGGGAGTTGCAGTTCCAAAGCATCCGAGTAACAAAGGTTAAGAACCACTGATCTAGACCAGGGGTCTCCAGACTATAGGCCGCGAGCTACATCCGGCCTGCATTGCCTTTTTATCCAGCCTGGGCATAGGAAGAGGAGGAAAGGGGGACCCAAGCAATCCCCTACCCCCACTGTCTTTGCAAAGACAGCTGGGATGGGGGGGTCGCATCTGTCAGGCTTTGCTCCTCTTCCTATGCCTGAGTGAGATAGGAAGGGGAGTGAAGCCTGGTCTAAGCGATTCCCCACCCCTGCTGTCTGTGCAAAGACAGCAGGGGTGGGGGATTGCTTCTGTCAGGCTTCGCTCCTCTTTCTATGCCCGAGTGAGGATAGGAAAAGGAGCGAAGCCTAATCTAAGTGATTCCCCACCCCCGCTGTCTTTGCAAAGACAATGGGGGGTTGCTTGGGTCCCCCATCCCTCTTTTGGCCCTCAAAATGTGTAAAATATATGATGTGGCCCCCATACTGAAAAGTTTGAAGACCCCTGATCTAGATTATTGATAGCTGTGACTTTAGCATTCATTTTGAGGCTGAACTTTCTGCTGTGGCCCTGATGTTCACAGAGTCCATGATGTCCATGAACCTATCCCATGTCATTGGCCCCACACATAGAGTGGGACCTGATATTTTTGTCTGCATGGGATGTGATCTAAGGATGATGAACATCAGTTCTTCCACATTGTCACAGTTGGATCATTTTCTACTGAGATTTAACCTGTCTGCGGCAACTTCCTCCCACAGGGAAAATGGACTAACCCCAGAGGCTTCTTGATCTTAGTAGGTTTGAGGAAGCCTTGGGGAGGTATGCAACTGATCTGGTTGGGTATTCTGTCACTAGGTTATATATTGTTGTGATCCAGGCAGTTGACATGACTGCTCCCAAACACCCTCTCCACTTCAGAGCTCAACCCTCCCCCTAATTTACTGAGGTGCTTCAAGTTATGAAGTTAACAAGGAGATGGCTAGAGAGTAGGTGGAGGAAAGACCCATCAGGGCATAATTTGGTTGTGGTTAAGACCCTGACCAGGAGATACACCAATGCCTTAAAATCAGTGAAAAAGGCCTTCAACATTAAGATCATTAGTGAGGCTGTGAAACCAGCAAGTGGAGCTTTTCTAGGTGATTCATGACTTCACTAATCCTGGTCAGCACTGGCCTCAACCTGGTGATTTTGAAGTAACAATTTTAGTGATCAATTTGTAGCCTTTTTAAAAATCTAGGATTGAGGGCATCCAATGTAATCTAGACTCCATGGACAATTCAGTTGATTGGGTTATGATCTCTGGTGCATAATCTCCCTCTGTTCAGTTGATTCTGTTTCAGCCTGTAACATTGGAGGAGGTGACCAGGGTGCAGGTACACTGCATACCTGACAGGCTTCGCACAGGGGTATGCTGGACCCCTGCCCATTATGGTATTAAAATAGGCCAGTAGGGTCTCCGTGGATTGGGCCATTAACATCATAAATGCTTCATTGGGGAGGGGTATCTCCCCCCCCCGGTGTGAAGTAAACTATTATATGCCACATCTTGAAATGATCAAATTTGGCAATGGATAACCTAACTAACTTTGGGTCTGTTGCCAATATCTCCTTCATGGGCAAGACAATTGAGCAGGTGGTAGTGGAGCAGCTCCAGACAATCCTGGAGAATGAGAATTACCTTGATCCATTCCAGTCTGGGTTCAGGCCATGGCATGGTACTCTTAACAACTCATGTCACACTGCACAATGAGCTTTTAAAGGAAGCCAATGGGGGAGGAATGGTCCTGTTGGGACTCCTGGATCTCTCAGTGGATTTGGATACTGTCAACCACAGACTGACCCTGAACCTGGGTAAGATGGAGATCCTTTCTGACAGGTTAGGGGACTGCCTCCCTGAGTTGGATTGTGTAACACTTCCACTTAGGGATCAAATTTGTTCCAGTGGTTTCATTGATTCCTAGATTTTAGCCATTTTCAGGTCGGCCTTCAACCCACAGGCTTATTGCTCTACTCGCCCCTACCTGGATGAGGAGGTCCTGAAGACATGTGCTGATAATCTTGAAGATTGACTACTGTAATGCTCTCTATGTGGGGTTTCCCTTGACACTGACCTGGAAACTACAGCAGGTTTAGAATGCAGCCACCAGGCTGGTGTCGAGTGTGAGTAAATTTGACCACATCTCCCCAGTTCTGTCTGGTTACTTGTGACATTGTGGCCCAGGTTATGGCTTGATTCTTAAAAAGCCCTCCATGGTTTGGGACCTCTTTATTTGTCAGAGTGCCTTCCACCAAGAACATCGGTGTGCATCACCAAATCCTCACAGGCCATGCTCCTACATGTTGCCACACTGAGGGAGGCCAGAAAAACATTGACCAGAATTCAGGCCTTCTCAGTTGTGGCACCACCTCTTTGGGAAGGGTGTCCAAGTTGAGCTGCACCTTTTCCAGTTGAGCTGCACCCTTCCATCCTTTAAGAGGTTGCTTAAGACTATGCTGTTCACAGAGGTTTTCAGTGGCACCCTCCCATTGGTTAGCCAGTTTTGTGCTACCCATTATTGTCTGATGTTCTTGTTTTGTTTATCTCATGTTGTTTTTGGTTTGATTTGATCTAATCACAGTTTCCTTTATTTCTTCCTGTTTATTTTTGTTATATTAATGTATTAGTATTCATTTGATTGTTACCTGTCCAGAGTAATTGTGCATTATAAAAGTTTAATAAATTAATAAATACTACACTAGCCTTTTTTCGTACCTTCCTAGCAAGGTGCTGTCAGAGATTCAGAAGAAATGCTTGAAGGCACTGCTGAGTTGCAGGATCAGTCATTAAAAGCTGTAGAAGGAAAAGGTGATGTGACATTTACTTTTTTGAATTTAAAAGGTAGCAATCTACCAAGGACTCTTTTGTGCATGTCCAGTTGAATGTATGGGAATACTTTTGCATATGTGTCTCTTTAAAAAAGGGTTTTTTTTGAGAAAATAATATTCCGAAGCCAAATAAAAATAGAAATGACTTTGTTATTCCAATATTGAATTAATTTGTAACTGCAAAATTACATCCTCACAAACCTGTTTCTTAATTTTCTTCCACATAATGTTCAGACTTGTGGGGATATTCTGTGTCTGTCATGCAAAACAGAATGGAATTAACAGAGTAATACTGGAGAAAGTGGTTGCCACCTCCTTAAGGTTTAACTCAGGAAGACTTGCCAATTTATGGTGTTGTTTAAAAGTTATCACAGAATTTTAATTTAGATTTGGGTTTTTTGAACTTTTTCCTCATAGATGAAAAAATTGACAAAGTTGAGATTCTTGAAGAGGGAGATTTAGAATCCATTTTAAATCCCGTTCAGGTGAGTAAACTGATTTATTCTATCTGATTAGTGTTTGAAGGTGTGCTTTCATATGGCATATTATAGTCATTTGTTCATGTTTTGTTCAAACCATCGTAATCTCTCCAATATACTAAGGAGAATAACAAGTATTTTGTAGAAGTTGTCCAAATGAATTAAATGTATACTATATACCCCACCCCTTCACGGATTGCTGCCCTGTCATGGTGAAGGGGCTTGAGTAATTCAGAGAAGCTATGGGCTATGCCATACAGGGATACCCAAGATGGACAACTCATAGTGGAGAGTTCTGACTAAACACAATCCACCTGGAGCAGGAACTGGCAAGCCACTCCAGTATCTTTGCCAAGAAAACTCCATGGACAGAAACAAAAGGCTAAAAGATATGACACTGGAACATGAGCCCCTCAAGTTGTAAGGCGTCCAACATGCTACTGAGGAAGAGAGGAGGACAAGTACAAGTAGCTCCAGAGCTAATGAAGTGGTTGGGCCAAAGCGGAAAGGGCGCTCAGCTGCGGACACCCCTGGAAGTGAAAGGAAAGTCCAATGCTGCAAAGAAAAATACTGCATAGGAACCTGGAATGTAAGATCTATGAACCTTGGCAAACTGGATGTGGTCAAACAGGAGATGGCAAGAATAAACATTGACATTGTGGGCATCAGTGAACTAAAATGGACGGGAATGGGCAAATTCAATTCAGACGATTACCATATCTATTGTGTTCAAGAATCCCATAGAAGAAATGGAGTAGCCTTCATAGTCAACAAAAGAGTGGTAAAAGCTCTAATGGGATGAACCTTGGCAAACTGGATGTGGTCAAACAGGAGATGGCAAGAATAAACATTGACATTGTGGGCATCAGTGAACTAAAATGGACGGGAATGGGCAAATTCAATTCAGACGATTACCATATCTATTGTGTTCAAGAATCCCATAGAAGAAATGGAGTAGCCTTCATAGTCAACAAAAGAGTGGTAAAAGCTCTAATGGGATATACCGTATTTGCTGGTGTATAAGGTGACTGGGCGTATAAGACAACCCCCAACATTTCCACTCAAAATGTAGTTTGTTATATACTTGCTATATAAGACTACCCCCTCTTCCGCATCCGTGATTCTGCTTTGGCTGCATCATTGGGAGAGTTCCTTTTGCCGCTTTTGCTTTCTTTTCGGAGAGCCAGGGTTTGCTGGAAGAAGGACAGTATCAGCGCCGAACAGCTGACTGTCGGGAACCAGCAGAGAGGCGGCAGCCATTTTGGAGAGGCGGCAGTCATTTTGGAGAGGCAGCAGCCATGTGGTCACATCTCAAAATGGCTGCCACCTCTCTTCTGGTTCCCAGCAGTCAGCTGTTCGGCGCTAGAGTCAGGTTGTTCCCAGGCTACCAAGGAGGAGTGGGCTCGGTCTACTCGGTCTTACTACCAGGTAAGTGACTTCGCTGGGAGAGAGGGAGGGTTTGCTGTAAGTGCACCCAACGTATAAGATGACCCCCCACGTGGAGGCATGTTTTTCAGGGCCAAAAAGTCATCTTGTATGCCGGCAAATACAGTAATGTCAAAAATGATAGAATTATTTCAATAGGAATCCAAGGCAGACCTTTCAACATCATAGTAATCCAAGTTTATGCACCAACCACCAATGCTGAAGAGGCTGACATTGACCAATTCTGTGAATACTTACACCACCTTCTAGAATTGACACCAAAGAATGATGTTCTTCTCATTATAGGGGATTGGAATGCTAAAGTAGGGAGTCAAGAGATAAAAGGAACAACAGGTAAGTTTGGCCTTGGAATTCAAAATGAAGCAGGGCAAAGGCTAAAAGAATGTTGTCAAGAGAACAAGCTGGTCACCACAAACACTCTTTTCCAACAACACAAGAGGCAACTCTACACGTGGACAAACCAGATGGGCAATGCCAAAATCAGATGGATTATGTTCTTACCAGCCAAAGATGGAGAAGCGCTATATGGTCAACAAAAATAAGACCTAGAGCTGATTGTGGCTCTGATCATCAGGTTGTTATAGCAACATTCAAGCTTAAACTGAAGAAAGTAGGAAAAACCACTGGGTTAGTCAGGTATAATCTAAACCAAATCCCTTATGAATACACAGTGGAAGTGAAGAACAGATTTAAGGAACTAGATTTGGTGGACAGAGTGCCTGAAGAACTATGGATGGAGGCTCGTAACATTGTATAGGAGGCAGCAACAAAAACCATTCCAAAAAAAAGGGAAATGCAAGAAAGCAAAGTGGCTGTCCAACGAGGCCTTACAAATATCAGAGAAGAGAAGGGAGACAAAATACAAGGGAGATAGGGAAGGTTACAGAAATTTGAATGCTGACTTCCAAAGACTAGCAGAGAGAGATAAGAGGGCCTTCTTAAAAGAACAGTGCAGAGATATAGAGGAAAATAATAAAGAGGGAAAATCTGTTCAAGAAAATTGGAGATAATAAAGGAACATTTTGTGCAAAGATGGACATGATAAAAGACGAAAATGGTAGGGACCTTACAGAAGCAGAAGACATCAAGAAGAGGTGGCAAGAATACACAGAGGAATTATACCAGAAAGATCTGCATGTCCCGGACAATCCAGATAGTGTGATTGCTGACCTAGAGCATCCTGGAGAGCGAAGTCAAGTGGGCCTTAGAAACCATGGCTAACAACAAGGCCAGTGGAGGTGATGGCATTCCAGTTGAACTATTTAAAATCTTAAAAGATGATGCTGTTAAGATGCTAAACTCAATATGCCAGCAATTTTTAAAAACTCGGCAGTGGCCAGAGGATTGGAAAAGATCAGTCTACATCCCAATCCCAAGGAAGGGCAGTGCAAAAGAATGCTCCAACTACCGTACAATTGCACTCAGTTCACACGCTAGCAAGGTTATGCTCAAAAGCCACTGGCAATGGTGCGGCTAAAAAATATTGTAAATAAATAAATAAATAAATAAAATCCTCCAAGGGAGCTTCAGCAGTATGTGGACCAAGAACTGCCAAAAGTACAAACTGGATTTCGAAGGGGCAGAGGAACTAGAGACCAAATTGCTAACGTGTGCTGAATTATGGAGGAAGCCATAGAGTTCCTGAAAAACATCTACTTCTGCTTCATTGACTATGCAAAAAACCTTTGACTGTGTGGACTACAGCAAACTGTGGCAAGTTCTTAAAGAAATGGGAGTGCCTGAGTAATCTATCTCCTGAGTAATCTATATGTGGGACAGGAAGCAACAGTTAGAACTGGATATGGAACAACTAATTGGTTCAAAATTGGGAAAGGAATACGACAAGGCTGTATATTGTCCCCCGGCTTATTTAACTTATATGCAGAATACATCATG